AAAACAATAAAATCATCAGCAAAATAGAGATGGGAGATTTGGATACCACCTAAAGTACGAAAATAAATATTAGAACAATTTTTATAAGTGTCCTCAATAGCCCTAGAAAGGTAATCAGCTGCAATAATGAAAAGTGTAGGAGAAATAGGATCCCCCTGATGCAGCCCATGAGACGCCCTGAAAAAACCATGGCACTTACCATTCACTAAAATAGAAAAATAAGGGCTTTCAATATAAGATTTAATGAGTCTGATAAAAGAGAGATCAAAACAAAATAAGCTCAAAATATGATAAATAAACTTCCAATTAATATTATCGTAAGCCTTCAAAATATCAAGTTTCATGATCATGTTACCACCACGACACTTAATATCCAAATCATTACAAAATTCCTGTGCCAACAGGATGCTATCTGAGATAGCTCTACCTTTGACAAAACCCATCTGAAAAGGAGATATAAGTCTAGGCAACAAGAGAGAGATCTAGTTGGTTTAGTAGTAAACTTCTTGACTAGGATCACATACGATAATCAAGTGACTGTAAGGGGAAAGTAGACATGCGTGTTTTTCGCAAAATCAAAGGTAATAGATTGTCAAACAGTTAGGAGAGTCTAGTAATAGATTAACCCAGCGTGTATTTCGGTTTTTGAATGTACCATCCTACGTTAATCAAAAAATGTTTAAACTTTGATTTTGAAATAAAGCTCTGATACCACTTGATTGAGTCTAGTGAATAGGTTGTTAGACCTAAGTTAATGTCCCAAGGTACCAAGAGGGGGGTGAATTGGTATTTTTAAAACTTAAACCCTCTTTGAAAAAGTGATGACCCATAATGAAATTTTTTTATATAAATTTTTATAGAAAAGTTTTCAACCAAGAAATTTTAAACAAAAGTAAAATGCAGAAAATAAAAGCAGTAAAGTAAATGACACACAGATTTATAGTGGTTCGGTCAAACCAGACCTACATCCACTCCTGAGGCACCCTCGAGTATTGCACTAATAAATAGGCTCTCCTTTGCACCACAGCAAGCGGCAGAAGCCTTTACAAAAACTTCTTTTTTCACCAACTATCCAGTGCGGCAGAGATACTGTCTCTTTTACTAAGTTGTACAGTTTGGCAGAGAACCGTCGTCCTTTCACACCATCCTAGTGTGTGGAAGAGAACCTTCATCCTTTCACAACTCTCCTAGTGTGGGAAGAGAACCCTTCGTCTTTCACACTCTCTAGTGTGTGGTGAGAACCTTCGGCTATTCACACTCTCCAAGTGTAGGCAGCGAACCCTTCGGATGTTCACACTCTCCAGTGTAGGCAGTGAACCCTTCGGTGTTCACACTCTCTAAGTGTAGGCAGGACCCTTCGGCCTTTCACACTCTCCAAATGTGGCAGGAACCGGGTCTCCTTGATAGATCTTCTCACAAGAAATCTAGAAGGAAAAAGAAAAGAGTGAAGTAATCCAATTACAAGTAGAGATTTACCTTTAAACACCAATTGAAGCCTTCACGCTCCAGTGTAGGAATCCTCCTTTGAATGCTCTCTTACACTCTCTCTTGACTATTTCTCAAAAGGCTGAAAGTCAAATGACAAAAAAGATTGGGTGGCAGTCTAATTGAACTATTTATACAAAGAACAAGAAAAATCGCCAAAAACTGCAAGTTTTCAATTTTAACGCAGTGGATCTCGTACGATTGTGGATCATCCTGGAGATATTACTTAAAAGCCTTCAAATGAATTTCTTTGTATATGTGTACAAATGTTTTCTACAAGTTGATCGTCCGTACGAACCAAGTTCGTCCGGCAACGAACGGTTATTACAAGGTGGTTCCAAAACTGTAGAAAAAACCGTCCTAAGTCGTTGTATCGTCTGGACGAAATTTTTGTTCGTCCGATGAAAATTTAAAGAGACCAAATCGTCATGGACGATATTTAATTTCGTTGGACGAAATTCTTACAGAGAGCAAATCGTCCTGTACGATAATTTTTTTGTCTGGACAAAAATCTTACATAGCGTAAATCGTCCTGTACGATAATTTATTTTCATTTGGATGAAAATTTATAGAGAGAAAATCGTCCTAGATGATTTTTAATTTCGTCCCGGATGAATAGGACTTAAAAAAATTTTTCTGGCCAGTTCCCTATTCGTTCATGTGACTTAATAGGAGATAACTGTCTGATCGTCCCGTATGAACTGATATCGTCCCGTACGATCAGTATAAGTTTTATATGATCTCCTTATGTGTGTGTGTATGTTTTTATTCACTCAATTACAATCATCCTCTTCAAATAAAATGATAATTTTAAGCTTCAAAAACTAAAGGTATTTTTGCTGAATTTGATTGAAGACTTCGTGTTTGAGAGTTTGTTGCACCTGAAATGTTAGTACACACGAAAGCAAATACAAATCTACTAAAATTGGTTAGGATAAATACACATTTGAATAATATTTTTGGAATCATCAAAATTATTCAAGTTGCAAAGATGTAAAAATGCAAACAACTATCTTAACACCATGTGTGAAGATAATGGGGAGATTTCTAACTTGTTGTTACTATTTTCAAAGTCATCTTAATAATCTTCTTATTCTTCTAGTTTCCTAATCTTCATTTATTCCTCAATTGGTTTCGGTTGAGGGCAATGCTTTTTTAACAAAATCTCCATCTCTTGAGGAGGTTAAAGATATTTTATTTGGTATGAATGCTAATTTTGTTGCTGGTCCGGCTGGTTACTCTACTAAATTCTTTCAGAAGACTTGGCATATTATTTACCATGATTTGTTTTCTGCAATGAATGATTTTTTTAATGGCTCTACTATTCCTAAATTCTTTTCGTCTACTTCTATTGTTCTTATTACCAAGAACAATTCGGTCAATTCCTAAAATGATTTTAGACCTTTTAGTTTGTGTACTGATTTTTATAAAGTACTTTCTAAAATTCTTATGAATCATTTAATTGTTCTTTTGCCTAGACTTATATCTCCTTTTCAG